GTGTTCCTTTCTAAAACAAAAATAGCTGGTCAAAGTTTGATGTAATTACTTTCCAACTTCATTTCCTCCAAAAAGGAGAAAAATCTATAGAATAAATTCAAACTTTTTTATTGGGAATTGTTTCATTATACAAAGAGAGTAAAATTTAACTTTAGTGTTTCTCATTTATACCTTAATGTCATATTTATTAAAAATAACTAGACTTGTATACTAAATGTGTAAAGACGAGATATGTCAACATAACTTTCACATTCAAAATACAATAAAAGTTGTATTTAATGAAAATGCAAAAGAAGAAAAAGAGATCAAACATAGAATACTAACTTTTATCCTCAGCTGTTTTTATTGTCTGAATTTCTATTTCACAGTAAAATATTTAGATGACAATTTTTAAAATAAAATGTCCATTTACAATTTCTATGTTGAAGAGTAACAAATTTTCTTCATAAAACTTTAAAGTGACCCAATTGTAATTTTTCATCATCTATAACAGCATATAATTACAGCTTGGAACGAGAGCTAGTTACGAGTTTGACATTGTTCTCTTGGAGTATTCAATTGTTGGGAAGTAATTTCGCACAAGAGGATGATTAGAAGTGATTAGCAGCACCACAGTACGACTTGTCACTCAGCCACAAACATTCAAGTTCGTAGGGCCACATGAAGGATCTATAGATGGACATGATGCACTTCAGTGACCCAGATTCCTACTATTTCTCTCAATGGAACGCATTTGTTTGTTGTCCGTAATGTCTCATGTGTGTTCACTATTGTAGGTTTACCTAAACTGTGTATGTTCGCTGAAGCGTTTCACCGAGTACTTTAGAATCACTATTGAATTGTTATTGCTTTTTTCAATTCATTTTGCATTTTTTTTTCTTTCTATCCTTTTTTTTCATCCTAACTATTGAACTTTCTCGTTTAAATTACTCTCTATAAAAAGATTATCTTTACATTGAATGAAAAACCAATCATGTCTGTTCGTAGGTATAGTGTATATAAAAGAATATTTTATCAGATGTTTTTTTTTAGATCTATTCATTAATGATTCCAACAAATCAGCGTATTTTCTCATGTACTTTGCATCTTATAACTCTTTAGTTCGTTCGATTAAAATGGATTATTCAATCTAATTTCCGTGATGAAGGTATAAGACTTAGGGTTCTTTTGATAACTGAATGCTGAGAATGTCCCTTTTGTACATGGAAATCTCTTGAATGAAAACTCTTCAAGTAAATTATATTGAGGGAAATTGAAATTAATGGTGCTTGAACAGTATTAAAGATAATAGTTCAGAGTACTTTAAAGTATGTTAAACTATTAAACATGGATCAATATCTATGAAATAGATAATGAACAATCAATAAACTATATAACAATGTTTATTAAGTCATTTGAATATCATACAGAAGGCCATACCTTATTATTGTATATTGCAATTAATCTAATGATCTATTGAGCAGACGTGCTATGGATTATGAATGTGAAAGAGTGGAAAATAGTGAGAGATAAAAAAATAAACGGGTATCTGCTAGAGTAGCTGTGCAAACGACGTCTAAAAAATATATATCACTACCAATGATAAATATGCATATTAATGTTTACATACTGCGATAGCATAGTCACCCAAACAGTCTATCTGGTGGCCTGATTGCTGCTAACGTTGCATACATTTGCGTCATAGTATCATGATAAAAAAAAACATTTACCTAACCTTTATCATCTTCTATAATGCCCTCTGATTTCTTCTTATTTACTAAACATTATCGACATTTCCGGTTGCACATTCATAAACTTCAGATTTTGTGGTACAGCTTGCAGAAAATTACGACTCTAGTGTTATCGCTAATGTCATCGTGGAATTTTTCCTCATACTTTATGTTCAAAAATCTTGTTTTCTATGGAAGAGATATTTTTTTATGGAGTTGGAATTTTGTTTTTTTTTTCGACAATCAGAGACAATTTTTTTCACACTTGTTTCTTTTGAAAATTATTCCCTCAGGCTATTATCTGAACTATTCAACCATTGTCTTACCAATGCATTCGACTGTAAATGATTATTATTTATCTATATATTAAGTCAGTAATTGACCGTATAATTGGTCTCTCAGCAATTAACAGTTATTAATATACCTCTAATCTCTCATCGTTTAACTAGTCTACTTTGTAAATAAAATTTATTAGTTCAATTTTCAAATTAAAAATCGAATTTTTATGGAATAAAAATTTTTTTTGTGGTAAGAGAGGAAAAAAAATGTTATGAGATTGTGTTAAAAAATGAAAGTCAATTTATAAAGTCAATAACCAAAGAATAACAAAGTTAGTAGAAAATATAATTCTATCATACGAAGGGTTAATATCTTTAAGCGTAATATTGTCGAGTGTTTGCTTTTAGGGCACTAAACAATTCTGTTAACGACATTTTTTTTTATATTCTATAGTCAAATGATGACTAATAAAATTTTTTTACGATAGAAAGAAGGAAAATCTCAATGAAAAAGTAGATAAATGGCTTTATGAAAATAAAAATATCATTTGCAACTGTTGAATTTATAAATTTTTGATCACAGATTTTTTTATCTGCATGTGTAGATCCGCTTAGGTGTACTCTGTAATTTTTTAAAATCCTCACTTTAATCGCATCATAAAATTTTTATTTTAAAATGTAAAAAAATAGTCACTTATAAATGATATATATATATCATTCATATATATATATAAAAGAAAAACATTTATCTATTTTTTCAACATGAAAAATAAATGTCTATTTGAATATTCAAAAAAATATCCAGATTGTTTTCATTTTTGAAGATTATCGAGATTTCCAAGTTTACATTGGTGAGAGATCAAATGCTATATACATGTATACATATATTTATATGCGATAACTGTAATGGCAGATCGAATAGTCTTATTCATTGATTTTATATGTCTCTGTTAGTGAAGGAGAAAATCAATTCAATAGCACATATTTACTTTAGTGAATATAACGTACTTTATTTTTACGATATCATTCTCTTATGCATTTGAAATATAATTTAGCGTATTATTGTTGAATAGATGAATGAAATTTGTAAGTATTAAGAATCCAATGTTTTTTTATAAGATGATATAATCAGATATTTCCTGCGGAAACGTTTGAAAGTTTTTATGAGTTCTCATCTTTACAATTTCCCGGTCTACCGCGTATTTCGTATTTACCCCCATATTTCTACATCAATTTTCAGGTTAAATGCTTCTCGTTCAAGTTTCTTCCAATGCGGTGGTAATAAAGAACTTTTTATTAGGTGCATTATTGACGTTTAAATAATATCTAGACAGTAAAGACCACATTTATGTGTATAGATGTTGAAACTTTGCGAACAAAATTTTCAAGTACACAGAAGAATGAGAAGAAGCAATGGAGTAGTCAAGTGTTTATTTAAAACCACTAAGAGAAAATGATATTTGTATTAAATATTAAATGCTAAAATCGTGTTTGGAAAATTTGGTTTGTTGTAATATTGAATATCTCAATACTCGAATTAACAATGATTGCAAGTAAAATAAATATCCGGTTTCATTTAATAAATAGTACAAGCTGTTAATGAAAATCGATTAAATTAATTCAAATATTTTATTGTGGAATTAAACGAAAATGACCATTTAATTACGGGAAAGTTTATTTGAAATTAGCCGAGTGGAGAAGAATATCCGTAAAGTATTCAAATAAATGACGACAATATACTGAAGTTACGAATGAAGTTGGAGGTCTTGGGAGTGCTACAGAATGGTTTATAGGAGTCGTTCATCATGAAGTAAGTTTCTATGCTTTTCTTGATTATCTGAAGACCTAAGATTGGCTCACCTTGGGTCGACAGGATAAGGAGAGCGCGGAGACCGTTGAGTTATATGTCTCTTCTAATTAAGCATGGACTCGCCGAACTCGAGGAGTCTATTTGAGAAAGTGTTCCCGGTCTGATTTTGTAATCCCTTTGGGTCTATAGAAAGGAGATGAGAAGCTCTTGCCGAGAATTGCAATTAGACCAGTTTCATTGCAGAAATATACGCCCGTCATATATCCTATTTAAATTAGTCGGTTTTCTCATGGGTAACGCTTCAGTGCGGTAAAGTGTTGAGTTTGCAAATTGCTTGTTGGTTTCCAGAGGAATTTTGAATTACTTGGATCTATTTCATTAATCCCTTGGTAAAAATATAACCAAGAAGATAATCCACCTAAACGAAAGCCAGCGGCGCGTTTCAAAGAAAACTCATCACCAAAGATAGGTCCTTGTTGATGAAACTAACTCTGAGCTTATTCGAAAGGGTTTGTTTCTCGTGTACACCCACGCTTAGGATACCAGACCTGGAGAGAGTTTCTGAACCCGAGGGAGGACTGGCCAACTCGTTATACTAAATGACCCCCTTGCCTCGATTCTCTAGTTTGTTAACTAAAAGTTTGCCGTAGCTGGCAAGAGCTCGCGGCAAGCACAGCAGTTCGAATCCTACGTCCGGTCCTCGTCGTCGTCGGCTGTTTGCCATGTCCTCTTTGAGAAAAGCCATTTCCCTTGAGAACACCATCCGTGTGTTCATTCTACCTTACGTAAATAGTTATTTTGATGAGATAAATCATCATTATACTCAATTATGAGTAAATAAACTGCAGTTTCAAGCACTTTGCCTCCATCATTAATTCATTGGAGGGCGCAAAATGATATTTATAGACCGGCTGCTACATTATTTTATATTTTTGACTATATAGGACTTTAACCTTAGTTTAAATGAATCTGATAAGCCTATAAAATTCTGGCTTGATCGATGTGAGGATTACGTGTGGCGTCGACCGGCAGATTACCTTTTGATACGCCATTTGGAAACAAGAACTGATGTCTACACGCTTTCACTAAATTTATTACTCACACGACCCCATGAAAATTACAATAGACTTGTCAAATTAAAGTTATTATTACCATTACTACAGCTATTAGCATGCATCATTTCATTTTTCTTTATTAACTTACCTTGATAATGGACTGCTTATGACGTAATGACTGTAGTAAAAGATGCTCGCAACAGAAGCTAGTAAAAGCGCAGCAACACAACGTTTCACTGTTGCCTGTTTAACGATACACCGAGGTGCTACTGCTCCAAGCAGTGGCACGCTTGCTTCCACTCCAGAGATCTTCATTTTCCTTCCTACGTATCGCTTTCACTCGTAAGATCCTCAGGGGTAACGTCTTGTTCAAACCAATGACTTTGTTTTGTTCAAATTGACTTCCAGCAGGGTTATAAAGGTAGAGAATACAAGTTGTTAGTTTCAGTGTTCTCTGCTATTAATGCATTCTTACATCAACAACTTCATCCGACTTGTGATATGGATTATTTGAAGCATCTTTGAACAACTGTTCGACCCTGATGTCTCGTTTAGACTCCATTGAGTTAATTAGTTGATGAAAAAATTGGAGAAAAAAAATTTAGAAATTCAATTAATTTTATCATTGAATCTTGATTGATTTCAATAGATTAATCTCATCAATGGAATTACATTTTGTATTATTTTAATTCTCACCATTTAGTTGTCATCATTATTTCAATACTTTGATATGGAATTGAGTTTGAGGGCAGCCATTATTTTGGTCATAAATAATATTTATTCTTAATCCAACTAGTCATCGACATTGACAGTAGATATACTTGAACAATTTCAGGATGTTGAAAAATTCATTTTTCGATTGATATAAAAGAGAGATAAATGATGAATAACTTTGAAACAATAAATTTTATGGAAGAACATAGACTTAAGTAAGAGTGGCAAAATAAATTTTATTGAAATGTCATGCGATGCAGTGACCACTTGGGGATTTCAGTGGGTCGTGATATCGAGGGTATATGGCCATCCGTTACCGGTCGCAAGTATACTTTCCAACGTTAGCGTTCTCACTAACGTGCTCCAAGTACTCACGACTGTCCAGTTGCTGTTCACTCGTAAATTTAAACACACCACTACGATACTCTTTAGCAGTAACTTTTCTCGCTGCCACCCTTTGGCCACTTGGTGGCGTGTCAATTAAAATCGATTTAGTATTATTATTCTCCGTTATGACTCTTCTCTTTTTTTCCCTCTGACTCGTAACAGTGCGGAGGCGAGCGATTGATTCTCTAGGTAGTTGTATGACGACACCTCGCTTCTTCCTAAAACAAATAATAAAAGAAAAAAGGCGTTAGTACTCTCCAATTATTTTTGCCCATTATCATTCTTTCTTAGCAAAAAAAAGCGAGTTGCAAAACCGCGAATAAGACCATCCCACTGCAAATTCTGTTCTTTAATTAAGAAAAAAAAGACTTTTTAAGCTAGGGTATTTTTCGCCAAGAATTTATCCCAGATCGTTTAAGCAGCAAGCGCAATAACCAGGTTGTCGAGGGGTGAGATGTTACACAAACGGGAAAAACGAGGATATATATGTATAGCTATAGCCACAATTAATCGACGGTATTTTCCAGAATCTTCTTCTTCTTTACTGTAACAAAGATATTTTTTTATTCTTTTTCCGGGGGCCGCGTGGTTGTGTTCTGTAAGTCTCACAGAGTAGACATTGAACGAACAAGAAGTCCATTAATCAAGTCTTCCCTTCCTCTGGAATTACTTATTGCTTGTGCGCGTACGAATGCCACCTTGGTCCGCGTGCGTTTCTTTCGAGTAGCTCGGAAGAGTAAATAAGAAGAAAGCTTGTCCGGAGATGAAAAACAAAAGGCATATAAATTGAAAATAAGGTCAGCTGTGATGTATACAGTTATACTGAAACTGATGAGCAAATAATCATAATTAAATGAAAATAAAAATATCAAATTTTTGAAGAATATTTCTCTCGACGTTTTTCTCTCGTCTCTTTTCGCTGTCTCAGGAGACCTGACCTGGCAGTTCCAGAGAGAGAATATTGATATCTTCTAGTATATGACTGTCCTTTTTTAATACTCATTCTATATTTAAGAATAAAAATGAAAAAGAGGGAATTATTGATAAAGCAAAAAGGGAGTGTAAAAGATGAAATATAGAAAGATAAAGATGAGAAGTGGAGAAGAAAAAGAAATAGATCTAAATCTACTGGGATAAGTAAGGGTTCTTTACTTCTAGATGACGATGGGAGTAACTTGCCGATCATAGAGAAGCACTCCTTTGGAAGACGAGATGTTGAGCGTGCTAGGAATTTAATTACGTACGAGTCAGTCGACCGCTCTTCAGGGACCTCATCTTCGATTATCGAACAGTCAATTTCTCTCACACCATCGTCTTCGAGGGGATCGTTCTCATTTCCTGTTGGCCTACTCTCCACTATATCTATCTTCCCGAAATGATTTTCGATTATTGAAGCTCCTTGTACTTCGTCTAGACTTGTGAACTTTAACATTAGCCATCACTGCTATCATCTTCTTTCATTTTTATCGTCTGACTCTAGGGATGCATTTAATGAAAAGGGAGCATGTTGTAGAAAAATCTTTTTCTTGTATATTTCAATGCTAGGTAGACTAGAATTCTTTAGGCTCAGAGTTTCTTAGAATTGTGCATTGTTATTTCAGACAAAGAGGATAAAGAGAGTCAAGTAAAAATGCTTAAATTTAACTACTTTAATTCAGTTAAGATTGAATAGGAGGATTATATTGAATATTTGACGTATAGCTGGTTTATACTGGAATCAATATGACCGATGAATATTACAGCCTCGAATGTATCAATCGATTTATCAATTGGAATTGACAATTAATTACATAATATAACTGATCGATTAATCGAGAAACATGATAGAATTTCCGAAATGGGCAGTAATTATTTATGACCATGATGATGTAAAAATAATTAGATCAATTGAATTTATGAAGAAAATTAATTTCAACATTTTTGGTCATTTTTTTTTACCTCATTCAATTTTTATTAGACTTTTTATCGAATTAAATAGCAAGATCATTATTATAATTGTCAATTGGATGTATAGTAAAAGAAACAATCAATAAAATGCTACTTTGAATTTACTGCTCAATTAACTTCATTGTATTTTCACAACAATTCAATGGAAGAAAAAAAAAACAATAAAAAAAGAAACTTCTTTATAATGTTATTCTTTTACGCAAACAGACCTTTTGAAAAAAAATACTTTTAATTTGTTTGAATAAATTGAATCTAAAATGTGAATTTATTTTATCTCACAATATTCATTGTGCCATCAAATCATCATATATAAATTGTAAACTTTTTAAATCACCTAATTTAATTTGTTTATACATTATTTTTGTGTATATATATATATACATTATATAGAGATGGAAAAAGGGAGAAACATTGTCACTCCAACTTCTAGTTTGATCTGTGAAATGCAATGATGTTTTAATCTGGCAAATGCATCGTCTAAGATAGCAGTTTTTTCAACTTTGCCGGAAATTAGTTTGCCTTGGTACTCATGACAATCATCTAAGGAAATTCGGTGTCACGGATGGATTTTTAGACTTATAAAATGTAGAAAATTTATCTATCGCTGTATAGTTCACTCTACTTTTCAATCTTTGCCACGAATCGTTATTCAAATTCTATCTTTCTGGAAATTGCTGTGCCGTTGGGCACGCGTCGTGTCCCAATCGAATTCAATATTCACTCTAGCCTTCGCCCTTCCTATCAATTTCCGATAGAAAAATAAAAGTCAAGAGCAAAGATGAGGAAATGATGGAAAATTCTACATAAAGTTTGCTATGAATCATTTACGGTTAAACGAGGAAGGAATATCATTATTTGTTGGAAACTGATTTTAGAGTACAATCAAAAGTCTTGGAAGTGATTGATCATTAATTCTATTAGAACTGAATGTTACTATTATGCTGATGGGATTTCAATCAATGATATTTTGAACAATATCAACTATAATACGAGGAGATTGAGTTTCCTAAACGGAATCAATCAAGCATCTAGTACAAAGGAATCGGATTACGTATGGCCATTTGCAGATTTCATGAAACCTTAAGGGTAATGCTATCACTTGAATCTTCAAACCACAAATATATTATTCCTGTTGATGATTCCTACGTCAAAAGACTCGGTGCAGTAGTGCTTTGTGGTGATATCATGCCTTTGTGGTAAAGTTGGATTTTTTTCAGTACAATTATATCATCGTATTGTGTGTGGTATTGAGGTAAAACAAAAACTTACAGAAAACAGCTATGTAGCATCATCTTTTTTCTGCTTATTTTGTAATAAAATTCTACATTAGGAGGACGAAAAAATTTTTTTATAAAATAAATATATAAAATGAGAGTGAGAAATGTTTCAATTAAAATTCATATCAACAAAGTTTTGGATTTTTTGTTTTTTAATTAAACAAAAATTTAATTATTTTGTTTAAATTTTTTAGATAAAATTTATCTGACAGTTGATTGTTTGAATTAAATTTAGAATATCTATATTTTTACATCAAAGTTACTTTTAATCTGTTTATAAACATTTCAATGTTGATAACAAATAGAGAGATTTTTGTAGTTGAGTCCTTTTTAATTGGTATTTGCCCATGTAAAGATCAAATGGATAAATAAAATTATTATTTAAATATATTAAATTCTGTGTGAACTTTCAATACAACTAAACCATCTTCAATAGAAATTTGAACTTCTGTATATGACAGTAAAATTAAATAAATATTTTTTTTAATAATAATTTTTACTAAAATTCTTATGAAATAATATTTTTTATTGTTGAAAATATAATGAGGTATTTTAAAATAAATTTTTTAAATATATTAAAACAGTTGCCGTCAAAACAACCACATCATAAAAATATGTTTTTAAGTTAAAAGTTAAGAGACACGTTTTAAATTTAAGGATACTCTGAAATGACTTTATTAATTTATCATATTAAAATCTTCATCATATTAATTATTTCAATTTCGAAAGCACGAATAACTTCATTTCAAATTGAATATTTAATGACAATCTGATTGCAAGTTAGATAACCACCTCATGCAGTTTGAATTTAGATCATTTAAGATTCAATATTTTAGTAATACATTAAAAACTTTTAGTTTAGTGTTCAACAAAAAATATGTCAAATCAGAATTCATTTGAATTTAATTAACAATTCAATTTAAGTAAAATTACTTTGTTCAAATATTTATTATAATCACCATCTACACTAACTGATCGATAATATTAAGCTAAATTAAAAGCATAACTCAATTTTATGAATACTTTTACAACTTTTTAATTATCAATTTTCTCCTGCAATCGAACATTAAATGTTTCATTTACCTAGGGTTATATATAATTTATAAAGATTATTATAAAAGATAAAACAACAATAGCTGATAAATATCTCTAAAGTAATGAAATTAGTCTTTCGATCTCATCGAAAAAAGTGATTAATTTTCGGTAACTGTACCTTAGCTTATTTTCGGTGCACGCAAGTGACGAGTGGACGCGTGCGCTTCATAAGGATGTTCTTTGATTTACGACGATCACCCATGTGTGTCCGAACTCTTGAGAGCGCATACTCGCGCGATTGAACAGGCGGACACACTTGAAGCAAAAGAATCCTCGAGAAAAGAAGTAGAGAATGCGAGCACAGAGTGAAGGATCGCCGTTAGGTCTTGATAGAATTGAAAACCATTGGGAATTGAAGATCACGCGTGATTTTCCAATGGAATTGACACGACAGTGTTTACTCTCCGGAGTTACTCGTGCTACGAACCCTATTTTTCCCTCTTTATTGAATGATTTTTCTCGTTCTTTCCACGTCCACTTGGTTGAATTTAAACACTAGCTTGAGTTCTTCAAACTTTTACTGTGCTTTTGTATTTATATGTTACTGTCGTCTGTATAGACACATGTGTAGAGCATTTTAAATAATTTATCAAGTCGAAGCACATGTTTCGTCGTGGCAGTAAACTCTCGAGGGTTATATTAAGGAAGGTTAGGTATAAGGTTATAAGAAGTATCGATAGAATTTCTGTAGTTTATGTTTAAGCATTTGTAGATTTCGCAACAAAACATCGCATCTAAAAGCAAACTTCATCTATTGATGTATTATTTATCTTTAATTAGATATGTATTGATTGAGCATTTGATCTAACATATACAGTGCCGTGTGTTTATTTATGTTGGCAGGATAAACAAGCTCTAAGTCAACTGGTCCTTGAGGGTCAGATTAAGGAATTTAGTAG